GGGTTGCGATCCATTGCCGGTCACGAAAAAAGACAAAAAGGAAAAAAAAAAAAAAAGAATTGCAGTCAGCCCTCCATATCTATGAGTTACCCATCCTCAGGTTCTTCAACTGTGGATCGAAAGTACTGTTTTGTGTATATATACACAACAGAATACTGTCCAGCCATAAAAAAGAATAAAATCCTGCCATTTGTGACAGTGTGGATGAACCTGGAGGACATTATGTTAAGTGCAATAAACCAGACATAGAAAGATAAATACTGCATGTTCTCATATGCAGAATCTAAAAAAAGCTGATCTTATAGAAGTAGAGTACAATAGTGGTTAGCACAGACTGTAGAGAGTACGGGGGGGAGTTCAATGGGTAAAAAGTTACAATTAGAAAGGAAGAATAAGTTCTGGTGTTCTATTGCACATTAGGATGACTGTGGTCAACAATAAGATATTGTATATCTCAAAATATGTAGGAGAGGATTTTTAATGTTTCCACCACAAAGAAATGATAAATGTTCAAGGTGATGGATATGTTAATGCCCTGATTTGATTATTACACAATGTATACATGTATTGAAACATCACATTGTACCCCATAAATATGTGCAATTATTGTGTCAAACAAAAATAAATACAATAAAAATAATACAAATAAAAAATACAGTATAACTATTTACATAGCATTTGCATTATATCAGATATTATATGTAGCCTAGAGATGATTTAAAGTATAGAAGAATCCTCCCGTATAATTTACCCATGCATAGGTTAATATGCAAATACAAGGATACTTCAAAAAGTTTGTGGAAAAATAGAATTGAAAGAAAATATGAATATTTCTGTGAACTTTTTGAGGTACCTGCTTATGCTGCAATACCTTGTACTATGCCATTTTATATAAAGGACTTGAGCATCTGTGGATTCGGGTATCTAAGGGGAGTCCTGGAACCAACCTCCCTCTGATACTAAGAGATGAATGTATGTGAAACTTCAGCATTTAAAGTTCTAATTTGGAGAGATGAAAGGTCCAGGGTGTGGCTGTAGGGTTAGTGGATGAAATGGAGACTAGGGAAATCGGTTAGAGTTAAATCTTTGGATGTAGACGTGCAACCACCCGCGATGTCACCCCGTACATAGTGGTGATGTTCCCAGGTGTCTGGGAGGCAGATAAAGATCAAAAGCAGGGAATTTAGTGAGTGAGCAGGAGTTGGTAAATAATAGTGACACCGAGCAGAGAGAGCTAGGTGAGGTGGCGCTTGAAGGAGCAAGGGCTGTTGCATGGGGCAGAGGGAGTATCCTGGAATCCACAATGGAGTGTTAAGAGAATGCCAAGCTGATTCTGGTGAAGTCCTTGCAGATGCTGGCAGAGCCCAGTGACCACTGAAATAGACTGGAAGTCACATTTACTGGAAGAGAAGAGGT